TAACTGACCAATCCCAAGGCAGGTAGTGTGCATTCTGCTACAGTCAAAATCAGATGAAGGCACAGGGTGAGCAGCTCCTTGAACAGCTATCTAGAATGTGTAGAAAGAGTTGCTTTATCATGGGGGGTTTTGATCGGGGGGGGAGGGGCACATGCTGCAGGGCTCATGCTGCCATGGGAAAAACATCCTTGGAGTTTCTAATCACTATAGCTGAGAACTTTCTAATGCAAAAAGCATCACAGTCAGCTCAGGGGGATTCTACATTACACTTCATTCTGAAGAATAAAGATGAATTATCACTGAACTAAAACCTGATGGTTACCTAGGTGCAAGTGATCATGATCAAATTTAATTTGCTCTGTGCAAACAAAAGATAGTCCCAACCAGTATATAGACTTGGTGCTTTAAGAGGGCCAGTTTCCTAGAGCTGAAAACAGTCCTGAGCAAAATTGAATAGGAGGAAAAACGTAAACATAAAAACATGAATGATAATTAGGAGCTGTTTAAGGATGCTTTATTACATGCCCAAGGGATCTGCAATTATGTTCAAAGCCTTCTTTGGTTAAAAAACCATCATGGTTGAGAGGGAAGGTGAAAGGAGCAATTATATATATAATATATATAAAATAGCAATCAGTACAAACTTGTAGTTAGGAATTGCAGAAAATTGATAAGGGAAGCTAAAGGTACCAGTGAAAACTCTATGGCCAATAGGGTTAAGGACAATGAGAAGGAATTCTTTAAATATTTCAGAAACAAATCAAATCCTAGCATATGGCATAGGTCCAATACTAGATAAGGATGGTAAAGCTGTCAGTCATGATGCCTGACGTCAGTCCCAGACAAAATCAGGGAAAGATTGGTATGGAGCACAATCAGTAAGGAATTAAGGAATGGCAGAATATATAATGCCAGTCAACATGATTATATGGCCAACGGATCTTGTGAAACAAATCATGGCTAGATCCACAAAGGGATTTAGGCATCTAACTGCTGCTTTAGGCACCTAAATACAAAATTTAGATCCTCAAAACTGCTGCTGAGCTACTGCCTAATCCTGTAGGTACCTGCATTCCCAGGAGGGACTGTGAGAGTCTCACCGCAGAATACCCTATAGCCAGTGATTTGGGCTCCCAGTGGGAGCCCTAGGTGCAAGGCCCTGCCCTTGCAGAGTGGGGATCTGAAACAGGCTCTCCCACTCTGGGGGAGTGCTCCTCCTCCTCCAGCTGTGTTTTGAGTGGGCCCCATTCTCAGGTGCCTGTCTCTCCCCGTGCCTTGAATCGGGAGGCTGGGTGCCTGACTCCGGGCTGTGGATTCCACTGAGTGGCGAAGCACTTGAAGTTAGGCTTTGCAATGCTGGGCCTAGTTCCCCTCTGTGGATCTGGCCCAGCGGTTAGGGTGCTCACCTGGGAGAGGTGTGGACATAATGTACTTCGACTCCTGGCAGGCATTTGCCTTGGTCCCATGTGACACTGGGAGTAAAAAACCAGCACTGTGCAAAATCACTGTAACCCATATCGAATCAGTTCAGAGCTCTCCTACTGATAGGTGTGCAAAAGCAAGTGTAAACGGGGGTTGTCATCCAATGGGGTGTTTTTAGTGGGCTCCCGCAGGGATCTGCTCTCAACCCAATGCTGCTCCATATCTTTATCAGTGATCTGGAAGTAAATCTAAAATCACTGCCGGTAAGATTTGCATATGACGCATAGATTGGTGCCGTGGTAAATAGTGATGGGGGACAGGTCAGTTACACAAAGCGATCTGGCTCCCTTGGTAAGTTGGGCTCATTGGAACAACATTACTACAGCGACATGCAAGGTCATACACCTAGGAACGAAGACAGCAGGTCATATGTTCAGAGCGGGGAGCTGGATCCTGGCCATTAGTGACTGAACAGTACTTAGGAGTCATGGGGAAGGCAGCTAAACATCAGCTCCCAGGGCAAGGCTTTTGTGATCCTTGGTCATTTGCAGAAACACAGCTGTGGATGCAGTCGGAACAGGGAGGTGGTATTTTCACTTTGGGTATAGCATGGGCGAGACCATTCCTGGATCCTACTCACACTTTAAAATGGATGCTGAAAAAACTGGAAAGGGTCCAGAGAAGAGCCAAGGAATGATCTGAGGTGTGGCAAACCTGCCTTTACCCTGTTTGGCCTAAGAAGCTCCCTTTCTTTAGCTTAGCTAAGAGATGGGTAGGAGGAGACATGATCATGGGCTACACGTACCTCCCTGGGAAGAGATTTCTTATAGCAGACGGCTCTTTAATCTAGCAGAAAAAGGCAGACCCAGATCCAGTGGCTGGAAGCTGCAGCTGGATAAATTTGGACTAGAAAGAAGCTACCATTTTTTTAAACGGGGGGGTGGGGGAGGTGTCATTAACCAAAGGGACAGCTTAGCCTAGGACATGGTGGCTTCTCCGTCACTTGAAGTCTTTCAGTCAAGACTGGGTGTTTCTAACAGGGCTGCGTAGCTCAGCCAGACGTGATGGGCTGGATGCAGGAGTCCTCGGGTGCAGGTCTGGGGCTGTGTTCTGCGGGGCTCAGACGAGTTGAGCAGTGGGTTCTGCAGGAGGGGCAGGGGAGGCAGGCCCAGCAGGTGACGTGGGACTAACTCCCCTCTCCCGGCAGGGTGGCTCCTTGGGCAAAGGCACATCCCTGAAAAGCGGTTCCGATGCCGACCTCGTGGTGTTCCTCAGCTGCTTCAAAGGGTACGACGACCAGGAGAGGAACCGGGCCGGGATCATCAAGGAGATCGAGAGGATGCTGGAGAAGTGCCAGCAGCAGAGGCACTTCGAGGTGTTCATTGAGCAGTCCCGGTGGCCGAACCCCCGTGTGCTGAGCTTCATGATGAGTTCCAAGACGCTCAATGAATCCATCGAGTTTGACGTGCTCCCAGCCTACAACGCCCTGTGTACGTCCTGCTGCCCCTACTCCGCCAGCTGCCTGCTCTCTGACCGTCTCCAAAGGCCAGGGATTCTCCTTGGGGGGAGAGTCTGGGCCCTGAGCCCTGGAGAGCCGCGTTTGCTGGGTTGCGAGTGTCACAGTCTCTCCACAGATCCCTAGATCTGTGCTACCCCGCTCCCTGCAATGTACAACGCCCGGAAACGGGTGTGCAGGGGAATAAAAATTTGGCCGCTTTTGGAGGGGCACTTTCTGTGCCTCCCACGGCCAGAGGAGCTGGCTCTTCACCCCCCATCCCTGCAGCTCCTTGGGCTGGAGGAGCTGGCTTCTCCCCACTGTGGCCGGTAGAGCTGGCACACACACCCCGGTGGCCCCAGGGCTGGTGGAGCTCGCTCTCCCTGTCCCGGAACAGTTCTATACCCCCGCTGATTGGGGGGGGGCGTGCCCCTGCTTGCCCCCCTGCACACACCCCCACCCTGAAATGAATGCAGATGCCCTCCCCCAGGCGCTGTGCCCGCTCCCAACAGCTCAGGTGTCACGCGAACTCCTGCAGGGGTTGGACGGGCACTCGTGCTGCACCGGGTGGCATGAGAGCTAGTGGCAGACCAGGCCTCTGCCCCTTCACCCTGGTCCTTCTGCTAAATAGCCCCAGGAGTGGTCCCCCTGCATTACCAGGGTCCAGGTTTGCACTGCAGGTGCCACGCTGAGGTTAAACAGAGATGGAGCCCAGCCTGGCATGCACCTGTGTGTTTATGTTCTCTGCCAGCCTCGGGTGCCAAGCCTCCCTCCCAGGTGTACGAGGAGCTGATCCAGAGCTGCTCCCGGGGGGGGCGAGTTCTCCACCTGCTTCACCGAGCTGCAGCGGGATTTCGTGGTGGATCGCCGCACCAAAGTGAAAAGCCTGATCCGCCTGGTGAAATACTGGTACAAGCAGGTACAGCAGCCAGGCCAGGCTTCCCAGAGCCCCTGGGGGGGAGGGGGGGAAGGAGGGGGTCACGCTTTCCTCTCCCAGCATCCTCCACTCGCCCTAACTGGCACAGCAAAGCCCCTTCTCTAAATGCTTTTCCTTCTGAGTCTGAGACGGGTGAATGGTGCCCGGACGGAGCTGGCACTGACAGGGCACTGTGGTGAGGAAGCTCACTGTGCCCGAGCCCCGGCTGGCACTGACAGGGCCCAGCTGCGGGGAGCTCCCCCTGCCCCAGCCCCGGTGCCCTTTGCTGTGTGGATTTAGGGGCACGAACTGGGCACTGAATCAAGGCTCATCTCTGTTCCTCTTGTCCATGCCAGCACGTCCGTCCATACAAAGAGTACCTGGGAAAGGGGGAATCCCTGCCCCCCCAGTACGCGCTGGAGCTCCTGTCTGTCTACGCATGGGAGCAGGGCAGCAGGGATCGAGCTTTCGACATGGCCGAGGGCTTCCGGACGGTGCTGGAGCTGATCCGGCAGTACAAGCAGCTCTGTGTCTATTGGACCATCAACTACAACTTTGCGGACGAGGTCCTGGCAGGGTTCCTGCACCACCAGCTCCAGAAAGCCAGGTCAGCTTCCCTTCCAGGCCGATGGTTTCCCTCCACATCCTGCCCCATGGCTATTCCCACCCATCTCTGTGCCCCCACCTGCCCCACTCCTGCTCCAGGCCCCCAGGGCGGTCCTGTCCAGGTCTGCGCTGGGAGCGGCCGGTGGGACCATGAAACCCCCAGCACGGTGTGTGGACGTGACTAGCGTGCTCAGGGCTCAGCCCAGGCAGAGCAGGGTGGGAGATGCAGCCTGGTGCTCCCACGTCTAGGCTGCTGGCTCCAGCTCGGGGTATGTGCTACCGGCGAGCCGTGCGGTCCCAGGCATAGGGAGGAGCTGACACTGGGACTGCTCCTGGGGCACCTGCATCTCGGCTCCCCACCCTGCCAAGAATGGCTGGGCTGAGCCCCAGGTGCCGAGGCCCAGGCTACAGGGGGAGGGGCGACTGCAGCACGGCTGAGCCCAGAAGGTCAAAAATCAGGAGATGGGGGGGTGTTTGTTTCCTCATTTTGAAACCCCCACAGGCAGCGCTGGCAGCCCCATCCGTGCTCAGTGAGCCACCCACGACAGGCCCAGCTACAGGAGCTCTTGCGACCGCACCCACTTGTGACCAAATGACACAGATTTGTAGCCGGTGCTGCCCATGGTGCGGGGAGCTCGCAGCTCCTCCCCAGAGCAAAACCTTCCAGGCAATTCATGCTGTAACCCCCCCAACCCCCATCCCCGCCGCCCCCCCCCCCCCCAGCAATTCAGCCTGGCTTTTACCTGGGGCTCCTCCGATCCCAGCACGGCCAATCTCAAAACTCCTGAGTCAGATCCCCCCAAAAATCATGATTTTTTTTTTAAAAAAAAGATGCTACTGTGATTTTCAATCTGTCTTCTGACTGTCGCCCTCGGCCCGCTCTCCCTCCCCGTGTGGGT